GTAGTGATTGTGATGATTGTTAGTATTTAGAGTTATGAGCTTTAGTGAATGATGTGAAGAGTATGTGGGGTTTGATAAAACAAGTATGTGAGCAATTATAATAGGATCAAACTGGTTGATTGTGGGTGGCTGAAAATTGAGAGATGGAATCAAATGAATGAAATTTTATTTATATTGATCCTATGGAAGGAGTATCTAGTGCTATTTGATTTTGATTTTGTAAATTCCTATGAAACCATCTGCTTCATTTTGGATATGGTTTGGAGTGAGAATCAGTACCTATATCCACACGTATTTTCATATCTATGGGTGAATTTCTAGTGGTGGATCGGGTGTACCGATTCTGTGATTGTCCTCATGGTAGAGTGGCATCCTTGGGCTAACTTGGTCATTTCAGTTATGACATATATGGTGTTGTTTGGGAAAGTAGAAGTATACTATTGATTATACATGCACGCTATTGTGTATGAGAACTTATAGAAAACTTTCATGAAGATTTACAGTTATTTGACAATGTTGTTAAAAGTTTTACATCATAGAGTGTATCACTTGTTGAGTGCTTACTTGATCTTGTTCTTCTTTAGAGTAGATAAGTTTGATTCTCCCTTGATGGTAACCGATGTCTAAAAATCATATTTTTATAGTTTAAGCTTGTGGAATGATTATGTTGTGAGGAGCTAATCTTGATAAGATCTATGATAGTTGGTGCAATAAGAGTATGTGGTGGTTGGTTCAGGTTTAATTCTCATTGTAGCCGGTATTAATTCAGAACGTATCTTTGTTATGTGAGAAAAGATTCATCCTAATGGTTGTGTTGTGCTCTAAAGAATTTCAGTTCATATTGGATTAGCGGGTTAGTTTGTGACTTGGTAACCACTCCTGATATGTAGATCTGCCAAAATTTGATTTTAAAGTTCAATTCTTAGTAACTGATCTCGATGGGATATTGATCTTAAGGACGAGCTCACTTGGAGAGATAAACACAATCTAGTAGGTCATAACTCAAGCTTTTGGTTACGTTGAATATTCTTTTTCTTCTTCCTTATGTTCGAGGACGAACATGATTTTTAGTGGTGAATATGTAATAACCCAGAAAATTAATCTTAGAAACTATCACAAAAATCACCATTTTACCCTTCCCGATAGTTGTCTCGAATCATTTTTGATTAGTCGAGAAAGTTGATTTGAAAAATTTTAAACTATTCAATAACTACAATTATTTAAAGGGCATTTTTCACATATAGCAAATAAAAAATTCATATTTGTATGCTATAGCAAAGTTTGCATATTTGCGCTCCATAGCAAACATAGAAACTGTATAATTCGCTATACATATATAGTTGAAGCAAATTGTATAAAACGAAGTGTATAAAACAAGAAAGAGAGAGACACTTGGGCAGAGAACTGTATAAAAACAAAGTGTATAAAACAAATTGTATTATTATAAGTGTATAGAACGATTATATAGAATTTGAATTTCTATAAAATGAGAAAGAGAGAAAGACAAAAGAGACTTGACAAGGAATATACAATTGAATCGAATTATATAAAATGAGAAAGAGAGAAATTAGATACAATTTGAAAATTGTATAAAATGAGAAAGAGAGAAAGACAAAAAAAACTGACCAGGGGAGTATTTTTATTGTATAATTATAAGTGCATAGGACGAAAATATATGTACTTGCATGTGTATATACAATTTTCTCACGCTTTATACAAACAGAAACGCAATTATACATTTCGCTTCTGTTTGTATAAGTGAAAAAGGCGAGGGTGGCGAGCGAGATTTGAGAGAGTGGCGAGCGAGATCTGGAAGAGAGGAGAGAGGGGAATAAAAATATATGTATTTTTATAATTTTCTCTGTTTTGTACAATTAGAAATAATTTATATACACTTGTCTTTGTATAAAAAGTGAGGAAGCGAGCGAGAGATTGGAGGAGAGTGGCGAGCGAGATATTTGGGAGAGAGGCGCCTAGCAATTTTTTGCAAACGTTTGCTATGGAATACAATTAAATCAAACCCTAGCTACTCCATTTATTTTAGGTTATTAGTTTGCTATCATATACAATTATCCCTTATTTAATTGACCAAAATTTATTATATAATTTATTTATTTAGTTGGGTTAATGGGCCGACTCTATAATTAATAGACTATCTAACTTGACCCGGGTGCTAAATTAAATTAAAAGGATTTTCTCATATTTTGGTCATAATAATTAAAAAAAAATGACCGCTTGAAAGTCGGGCACATCTTTCAGAATGGTGGCGGCTAAATCAGGTTAGCATATTAGCATTAATAACAATTTAATATATGAAATTTTCCATATGGAGTGGAAGTCATGTTATTTTTGTTATTATAATGGAATTGGCAATTGTGAAAAGAAGTTGAATTCGGGTAATATTCGTAAGAGATGTTATAACCACAATCTTGACAGATCAATTTTTAGTTAAATTATCAGTAGCTATTGATGAGTGCACATGATGGGATGGGTTAATAATGAGGTTCTTATTAGAGGAGGTAAGAATTTGGAGGGTAAGTTATTAATCAGCAGATATTATTCGTACAAGAAGATTTATGGGTTACTTATGTTTTCGGAGGTTTAGGCAATATCACCTAATTTGATTTTGATTTTGAATTTTCTTAGGATTATATTATTATTATTATAATTATTATTATTATTATTATTATTATTATTATTATTATTATTATCATTCAAGTTTTGATATATTGTGATATATAATTAAATATCAGGTGTATTATACTACATGAAAATTATTAGGGTTATAGTGTTTGGATAAATTTTGACTTAACCCTACACTTGAAACTTAGAAAATATGATAGTTGAAATGTTAGTTCAAGTTAAGATTTACGAAGTTGAATAGTTGATTATAAATGTTAGTGAATTGTTAAGTCAAGGCTAAATACATAGTAAGGGAAATGTTAGTTTCATAATCTTATTGTGAATATGTATTTGAATAGATTACATTGATTTGGGAGCTTTATGAAAGGGGAAGACTCAAGTCCCAGAGTGATTGTTCGACAAGACAAGTGAATTTCTAAACTCTTGCTAAGTGTATGTAATGCGTGTATTTCCTTGTGGTATGTGTTTGGGAGTAATGAGATTTGGAGGGGTTGACTTGTCCACCTTGATTAATTTTTATGATAAAAATGGTAATAAAAAACAATGTGATTAATTGTTTATATGTGATGTGTTGAGAATGGTACGAGTACCTGTAGTTATAATGGAAAGGTTTATTACTATAGAATGTGGACTGTAACTCGAGAATGCCAAAACATATGAGAATTAGCTAATATATTATGGATTTGATTTATTATGTGTGATTGTGTTCTTTACTGAACCCGTATAATTGTGATAATTGAAAAGATTATGTGTCATAGCGACATTTGCTTTATTGAGATGTTGCATCATCTCCTTTATTTGATATCATATTGTGCACATGCATTGACATGAGACTGGGTATGACTAAAGTTCTAACACGTGGAGATCGTCCGTGTTGAGATCGAGTTATGATTATTTGGGCACGTGGAGATCGTCCGTGCCATAGAAAAGTTATGATTATGATTTGGGCATGTGGAGACCGCCCGTGCGAGATTTTGTTTGATTTATGATAGTGCGTTGAAATCGTCCGCAACGTGAAGATCGTTTTGGTCGGTATATGAACCTCGTGAGTCCCCATGGGTCATGAACTCTCGATGTATTTCCGAGAAGTATCATGTATATACGGTTGAGAGAAAAATTGGTATCCTGAGGCATATCACTTCATGGTGTCATATTGCATTGCATCCCATGACATTCTTTATTTTTGATGATTATGTGTTTTATTAATGGTTGGGAAGTACTTGATATTTGATTACCTCTATTTGACAAACTTGATCTTATGTGTTGTTGATATTGTGAGTGTCTTTTTGTGAAAGTTGTGATTGTTGAATATTGAGTTTGTAGTTGAGGATGAATTGATTTATTAAAATGATTTTAATGAGCTGGGTGCTATGAAAATTGTTAACTGTTAGGTTGGGCTAATTTTATGCAAGTTGTAGTTGCGGAGGTTCCGTTGGTGTGTAAGGAGTACTCGTATTTTATCCCATTATCATGTGTTTAGAAGTTTACTTGCTGGGTACCGTGTGGTTTGGTACTCACCCCTTGCTACTACAATTTTTTTGTATGTTACTAGCCCGGACTTTGTGATATTTCACTTCTCCTTGTCTGAGGCTTCTTGGAGATTTGTGAGGTAGTTGTTTTTCGTCTCAGCGGACTTTCTTTCTCCTTAGTTATGACCTTGTTCTATTCTAGAAATAAGTTCATTTGAGACATGCAATTCGTTGAATCAATTGAAATACTTTTAGAGGAATGTACATGTGACAACCAGATTTTGGGGGTATTTTTGAGTAAATTATGAAATTTTCGCATTTTATTATAATGGTCGAGTTTTAGGCTAATTTGTCTTGGTGGGATAAGACGAGTGTCATCACGTCCATTTTTTGAATCGTCACATTGAATTTGTTGCTTTTTTATTTCAGTGAATCATTTTTTGAGGTTTGATATATATATATATGTTGACACCCAATTTTGGACCTCCACCATATAAATTAATCAATTTGAGCTTCTTCGATTTCAAAAGATTTAAAATAATTAATTTTATAAAATTTAAGAATTGAACGTTATTTTAAATAGTTTGTCATTATATATATATATATATATATATATATATATATATATATATATATATATATATATATATAATTAGTATATTTTATGATTATTCAAAAATCATTTAAAAAAAATTAATATAGTAAAATATTTGGACAACTAGTGTGGTTTCAATAATAATTTATATTATTAGTCTAATTAGTTTATAATTGAAATAATTATTTTACTTTATAAGATTAAAAAGCTCATTAATTAATTTATATTAATTCGTATTATTTAGTTATTAATGAAATCCTTAAACCTATTAGCAAATTAAATCTTGGGCCCTTTTTCTCAATTTCCAGCAGTTCCTTCAGCCCATTCAAAACACATGCCATCAAATACAATACAACAGAAGCCCAGCACACCAATTTCAACCCAAATAACCCGGCCCACAACAATTCCAAACGACCCGACCCCCCATGCTGATCTTCTTCTTCCAGCAAAGAACAAACCCAGAAAAGTCCAGCAGCAAATCCAGCGACCCGAGCCCACTCTCATTGTGTCGTCTTCTTCCTTTCTCCCTTATCCTCTCCATACGGGAATAGTCTAGGTATCACAATCTAAGGCGCTCTTCGTCCTTCACCAAGGAATCGAACGGCTCAAATCAAGTTTCCGTTGAGAATTGGTACATTTCAGCTGGCCGACCTATTCGAATTTGAATTTTGAATTTTGAATTTTATCCCCTTTCCTCATCCGATTTCCCCCCATTTTTAACCTAGTTCTTACCCTATAAATACCCTTTTTCTTCATTGTTTAAGGTTGGGGGAAAAAATGAGGCTAGCTTAAGAGAGAAACACACACAAAAAAAAATAAAAAAATGGAAAGGATTTAGAGAGGAAAAGAATCACTAACCTACAACATTCATAAAAGACATACATATTAAATATATACTTTCTTTCATTGTTTCGGGCTGCTCGGAATCCGAATTCCTCAAAGTTTTTTCCGAAGTTGGTGGTGAAGTCCTCTGTAGCTCGTTGTTCTCGGTGTGCTACCCTGGAAAAGGTAATTTCCTTTTGACCTTAACTCGTTTTAGCGGCGTTTTGTTTGCAATCCGAAGTCTAATGTTACTTCTTGTTCTTCCTCGCTCAAATGTTTTCTTTTCTTCTTTGGTTTGTTACTGGTGTTTAATGATCAGTCGTTTTGGTTTGCCGTTGACTCAGAGCGCACTTGAAGACCCAGAAGAAATACTTGGAAGAAGCCAAAATATATAGAAGAAGGGTATAAGGTTTGAAGAAGTGAATACGACTATTAAGTTATAGAAGGTATGTCATTGGCGTAAGTCATCAAGCACGTATGTCTTCAAGAATTCTCAACAGGTAGGTGAAATTCTTTATTTTTTTTCTCTTTCCATATTTCCATTTTCCACATAGCTAAGTCTGATTAGTTGTTTTTAAATACAGAGTTTTTACTTAATTTTTCTCAAAATAAGAGTTTGAGGTGTAATTTGTCCCATCTATCTTTATTCTTGCTGCTTTATTTTTCTTCCTTATAAGAGCTTATTCATATGCATGTCCTTTATCTGTCTTATCAGGCTAGATATGTTCTTTGTAAGTTTACCTTTTTTAATACGATGTTTCTACTGTTAGACTTTGTTTCTACTCAAACAGAATTACAAATTATCTTATGGATTGTACGCCATTGATGTTGAAGCTTGATTATTCTCCAATTGCACTTAGAATTCTTTGGAGCTTAGTATAATAAAGGGCGAGGACTTCCAATACGTTGGAGCTCAATATAATAAATAGGTGAGGCCTTTCAACAGAGGTACTGCTTGCTTTATCTATATGTTGATATCTCACATTGAGAGGTAACAAGTGAACTCTTAACACTTATCTTAATATGTTCTCTTTGTTGAAATTCCTAACCCAATTTCTCATGTCTTTATGATATTCTTTAATTTCTGCAGGAAATTTTGAAGGTGAAAACCAAAACAAAGCTTGAAGCTCTATAACTTTCAAACCAACGAGACACTAGAAAAACCTCTGATGGATGAAATTGGTCAAAAGAAGATGAGTTGGTGGGTATAAGTGATCAAAGTAGTAGTTCAATTCATGGATTACCTGAGTTTGAGGTACGAGGATTAGATAAACAACTTTGTTAGACATTAATGGTGTTATTTAAATACCTACATGGGCTAGATGAAGGTGTGCTTTGATGTGAACTTAAATATTATTCAACATAGTTGCTGATGTGAACTTAAATATTATTCAACATAGTTGCAAATGTTTATAATTGTGTATTGTCATGCGTCCAATTTTGAAGCCTAAAATGTTAGGCCCGTGCTCAAACACGGGCCATGCCCTCCTAGTATATATGTGTGTGTGTGTGTGTTTTGGATTGACATCTTATTACGAAGAGTGAAAATAAAGAATTACTACCCTATTTGCAAGGAGTTACCAACTATATCTATCTCTCAGATTGTAGTGTTAAATAATTTTCGGAGGCAAAAGGTTGCAATCGTGCTGCTGAAATTATGTGAGGAGATGATCAAAAAACCAGACTACAAATTTCTTGTGTTGAAAATCCTCAAGGCAAGTTGACTTGCGAGAAGTTTGTTCTTCAAAATGGGCTACTATCCAGTAACAGACAAAGAGGAGATGATACTTATGATCAAAGATACTTCACTCGTATAATGTGTTACCTACCATGGATAGTCCCAAGGCCTAAGACTGATTTTTTCTATAATGTGTTACCTACATACTTTTTCTTTTCTAGTACAATGGATAGAGACCTAAGCCTTCTGAAGATTGACTCTAACTAAGTATATAACATTCGATCCGTAAACAAAATATAGTCTATTGTTAAACAAGAGAAAAAAAATATATTTAACAAGTGATATCAGAGTCTAGTGAAAAAAGAAAGGTAGCAACTCAAAGGAAAGGAGATCCTACAAGCTACTTTCGAAGGCTACAAGTTGCAAGACACTTATCAATTGCTCAAGAACTCTCAATAGCATTGAGAAACTCAACGAAAATCACTACGAACCATGGAGCACAGGAATGCAATATTACTTTCTTGGGAAGGAATTATGGGATATCATCAGTGGATCAGATACCACACCACCAACAGATGTGAAGCAGCAAAAAGGCGGAAGGTCAAAACTGGAAAGACCATGTTTGTTCTTACTGTAACAATCGAGGATGCGTTTCTACAACAAATTAAGAATGTCAAGATACCAAAGAAGCTTGGGACACCTTGGCAACAACTTTTACAAAGAAGAATGATGTGAGATTACAAAGGCTTGAAAATGAGCTTTTATCAATCTTTCAACAGAATATGACGATCAGTCTATACTTCTCAAAGGTAAAATTGTTATCTAATGAAATATCAAAATTAGATCCTGAAAAATGCTATCATGGAGACAATAATGAGAGAATCATTGTTCATGGTCTAAGGTCGGAGTACAAAAGCATAATTATGGCCACACTGGGGTGGGACACAGAATCACTTTTTAGAGTTGGAAAATTTGTTGATAAATGAAGAAGATTTGGAGAAGCCATTATCAAGCCTTACAATAAAAAATGAAGATAAAGCGCTCTTCACCAAAAGAAAAGAATACTAAAAAAGAGAAGCGAAGAGAAGCTCGGGGGAGACCAAAAGAATCAACACAAATAAATCAACGACAAAACAAGCAGGCAAAATGCTTTAACAACCGGAAAATGGAGAAGTGCTACAATTGTGTAAAGAAAGGACATTATGCCAGAGACTGCTGGCACAAGAAAGTCAAAGGTAATGTAGCTACTTCTACTCAAAGCAAGAATGATGAAGAAGAAGCTTGGGATTCCGAGACCCCTTATACTGTTGAAGAAACTAATCAACAAGAGGAGTTTGTTACTTGTCACTTGTCACTCTAACAAAGAAGAGGAAATTGCACTTGCAAATGTAAGTGAGAAATTGATTGATTATGAACATGATTGGATTGCTGATTCAAGATGTTCCAATCACATGACCAGTGATGAGAAAAAGTTCATTAACATGAACAAATATAAAGGTGGTCGAGTAGTGGTGAATGCGAATAATCCAAAAAGGCCAATAACTTATATTGGCAAGACGGTGTGTATGCGTCATTTACCTAAAACAAGTGAAAATTCAAGATGTCTACCATGTTCCAGGTATGAAGAAAAACTTATTATCTGTATCACAACTAATTCAGGTAACTAAGTCTTGTTTGAGCCAACTAATGTAAAAGTATATCGAAAACTTTTAAAAGTAAGCACCAATTGAAAAGGAGAAGATTAGAATCATAAGTCATTGTTGACACCCAATTTTGACCGACCTTTAACCATTTTTAGGATTATATTCGATTAAATACGTATTTTTAAATTTACTTATAGTTTTGAAGTTTTAGTCGATTCTTATAAAAAATTATATATTTTTAGTATCGTTTACTTTATAAAATTATTGTAAATATTATTGTATTTTAAAATTATTAATGAATTTCAAATGTTTTAAAATTTAAATGATTTTCAATTATATAAAAATATTTTAATGTATGTAGTAGTTTAATTAAATAGTAATTCCTACACTTTCCTTAAAATTATTTAATTTCTAGCCTATTCTATTATAATTTCTTTCAATTCTAGTTATTCCAATTAAATTTTTATTACAATCATAGCCTCTCTTTCATTTCAATTCTAGCCATTTTAATTACAATAAGCCATTCCATATTCAATCCAAGCTGATTTCAATACATCTCATCTTTTAATTTCATCCATCTATTTTATTAATCGAATCCTAGCCCTTCATTTCAAATTAGATCAACGGTTGTGATTAAATCTCTTATTTTCTCAACACCAAAAGACCCCAAAACCTAAAATTTCAACTCATTCTCTTCCTCCCTTTTTTCCCCTCTCCAGCCGCCACCCCCTCTTCTTCTCCCTCTCCCGTCGCTTCTTCTCCCTCTCCCTTTTCCGACCAGCCATCTTCCTCGCCTCCCTCTCTCCAGCCGCCTCTTTCTCTCCCCCTTCTTCCCAATCTCCCCCTCCAAGTGGTGGCAGTCGCCCCACTCTCCTCTTCCCCCACCTTCGTTTCCCCCCTCCTCTCTTTTCTTCCCATCTCTCCCTTCCCGCATCAGGCAGCAGAGAAGCAGCACCAACAGCCAGCCGGAGAGCAGCAGCTCCGGCGACTCCCCCCTCTCCCTCTCGTCTTCCTCTTCTCTCGACCTCTCTCTCTTTCGTCCTCCTCGCTTCCCCTCTCGTTTTTTTTAGCGACCTCCAATCAGCAGAACCAAACCAGCAGCCCTATCAGCGAGTAGCAGCAGCGCCAGGATGAGCAACTATGAAGCAAACGACAAGCTCAAACGATGGGTAACAGGAAGCTCCGGCGTAGTTCAAATATTTTGTGGTCGTTTGTAGACGGATCTTAACAGATCCGCCCGGTTTGTTTTTATTTTTTTAAAATTTGTTATTAACATTTTTTGTGCAATGCCCAGATTATCTTTTCTTTTACATGTTTTAGGCGAATTTCATCTTAAGTATGAATTCGTTCATTTGTTTTTGCCATTATTTGAGTAGCATTATGATTTTGTTTCTATCTCTTTTTAAGATTAGTTTCTTTATATATGGTTAATTATGATCTAGAAGCATCTTCTGTGAAAAGAAGCTACAGTCTAATTTACTTGTGGCTGATTTTTTCTGCAATATTCGATAAGTTTGGGCATTAATTGAGTAATTTTCACATTAGCATTTATTATTCCTTTTTATCATTTTCCCCACCTTCCGTTATTAGATAAATGCGATTTAGCTCGTATTCACTCAACTTTCTGCTTTGTTAATAGAATTAATAGTTGTTGACTATCTGTTTTGTTAATAGAATTTGTTAACTCTTATGTCAATATACAGAGGTGCTAGAAATCAAGGTGGAAAGGTATGATCCTTGTCTTATGTGTAAATGTTTCTTTCCTTTAAAGAAAAATACTCTCTCCAGATTTTCAGTTAATTATCTGCTTTCTTTTTTTTAAAAAAAAAGTGTAATTATTCATGTGTTATGCGATTGCATGTCTAATTAGATTTTGTCATGACACAAACGAGCCGCGAGTGGCACCTACACTTATCCTATTATGTGAGCGAACCAATCAATCTAAACCCCAACATTTCAACCATAATAAACAAAATATAATGCGAAAGACTTAAAACTCATTAATATAACCAATAAATAACTTCTAAAAATTTTAATACATATTATTCCCAAAATCTGGAAGTCATCACCACAAGAACATGTATCCTCAAATTACTAAATCTAAGAGTATCTAAGAAGTTAAAATAAATGAACGGCTAGTTCATGCCAGAACTTCAAGGCATCAAGACGTAAATGAGAGAGAATCCAGTTCAAGCTAGGAACAATAGCTCACCCTGAAATCTGACGTGATGAAGACTGGCTAGAGTTGAGGGCGAGTTGAAGACGATGACACGTTTGCTGCACTCCAGAAATAACAAAGAAAAACAAATACAAGTAGGGGTCAGTACAAAACACAAGTACTGAGAAGGTATATCATCGACCAACTCAAAATAGAAAGCAATATATATCGACTAATACATATAACCAACCAAATGCTTAACAGGTGATAGCAACAAGTATAAGAATCATTTACAACAACACCAAACACATCTATGAGGACTCAAGCCTCCACACCATACTCTTTTGGGAAATAGGTTTCTTTAAAATCTGAGTATGTTAGCATAATTCAAGATTCATTCTCTTTGTTCTTCTTGTGTCGGAACGTGACACTCCGATCCTCTACTATCCTTGTGTCGGAACGTGACACTCTGATCCTCTACTATCCTTGTGTCGGAACGTGACACTCCGATCCACTACTATCCTGGTGTCGGAACGTGCCACTCCGATCCACTACTATCCTGGTGTCGGAACGTGACACTCCGATCCATTACTATTCTGGTGTCGGAACGTGACACTCCGATCCATCTACTATCCTGGTGTCGGAACGTGACACTCCGATCCATCTACTATCCTGGTGTCGGAACGTGACACTCCGATCCACTACTATCCTGGTGTTGGAACATGACACTCTGATCCACTACTATCCTGGTGTCGGAACGTGACACTCCGATCCACTACTATCCTGGTGTCGGAACGTGACACCCGATCCATTAACCTCATTCTTTTAGTTCATCAATCCTTCTTTCATGCCAAGACATCATCATTAACAAAGAGGTTTTAAGGTTTAAGATTCAACAGCCTCATCATGCTAATTCATCACAATTATATAATCACATCATGCATACACACAATTAAGCATATAGGAGACTTTACAATACTACCCAATACATATCATTCGCTATTAAGAGTTTACTATATGAAATAGCATAAACCATAACCTACCTCCACCGAAGAATCGTGATCAAGCAATCTATTTCCCAAGCCTTTTTGTTTTCCTCTTCGTTCTCCCTTCTCTCGTTCGTTTCTCCCTTTCTCTCTGTTCTTTCTATTTTTCTTATTCAAACCCTTTTTCTTTTACCCTAATTGTCATATAATTAAGTATAAAAGATGATAAAAATAACCCACTATTTATTTCAAGGTTATCTCCTTTAACCCCCAAGTAATTGAATTATTAACATTAACCCACTAACTTTATAATTATAAGCATGAATAGTCCAAAACGCTAAAAACTTTAGCAGAATTCCGACCCAGTCAGGGTTACGCAGCCTGTGACGGTCCGTCATGACTGTGACGGTCCGTCCTGCAGGTCCATCACAAAGTTCAGAGAGTTAATTCTGTGGAGAGATTTGTGACGGTCCGTCGTGCCAACGACGGTCCGTCCTGCCATTCCGTCGTGAAGTTCAGAGAGTCGATCTCAGTACCCAAATTTTCAGAATCTAAGTGTTTTGGAACGAGACCCCCTCGACGGTCCGTCATGGGATCCGTCGACCCTGACAGTTATTACCAGAATAAACTCTACTACTCAAAACGACTAAACAGGTCGTTACAAATTTAAAACAGATTGCTTACTTATTTATATATGGTAAAATAATATTATTTTGTCTCTTCTTTATTCAGAAAAGATTATTTGTACTTATTTTATTTTTGGTAATAAAATATTCTTATAATTTTCTGATTTTAACTCCCCTCTAAATTAAGGAAAATAGTATAATAATTGATTCCTTAATTTATTTATTTCCCTTATTAAGTGCACCCCTCTTTCCTATATAAATAAGACCCCACCCCTTCATTATTTCAGAAACTCATAAACACATTCACTCTCAATTACAAGTTCTCTCATCACTCCTTACACTCTCATTGCTCTCTTGCTACTCTTCAAATACATTAAGATTCCGGTAAACATTCAAGTGTTCTTCTTCGCTATTTTGCTACTTTGTTCGAGTAAAAGTTGAATCAATTTGTTTTGCTTAACTGGTTAGTATTCTTAACATTTACACTATCTTTACATTCACACATTTGTGTAAGCTATTGTCTGTTCTTTTATATATGTAGAATTCATCATTAAACAATTGCATAATGTCTCACCTTGACTAATAAGTGTGATTACTTGTGTAGTTATTTGATTGCTTTGACAGGTTTCAAACTTGAAGTTCAAGTTGAAGATTAACCATGAAGAAAGATTTATTTGCTTATTTGAATCTATATTTTTGCTTTCTTATTTTATTTATTCGAATGTTGTAACATTTGTAACTCTAAAGATCATATATATAAATTTATTTGGGGGATCGTCTAGGGGAAGGGGGATTTACATGCTACTTGTTCATTGTAAATTTTTTTTTTTTTTTAAAAAAAGTTAGAAAT